TTGTTTCCCCACTTTTTCCTGTTTCAAAATCAAACACCAGTTTGTGAGAAGATTATCTTCTTTTTTTAACAGGCAGATAAAGTTTTGCATTGGCTAATTTGCCAGTTGTATGTTAAAAATGTTCGTATTTTAATATTCAATAATGTTTTTGCCCAAAACATATGTGCACTATATCTCAGTAAATATACTATGCAAATATTGCTGTCCTTGAATGCTGAATAAACACTGACAAAGCACTAATTGTATCTCTTGTACTTTATCAACGCAGTATCTAAAAACCGTAGTGGTTAAAATCTCATTCTAATAAGCGTTAAAAGCGCATTTGGTTATTAGGTTTATAGGGTTATTGAATTATGGTTAATGGTTGGTAGAATTGTTTTTAACATTATCTGCCAATTACATCTGCCACCCTTCTCCAAATCTGTGCCCATACCTGGCCCCCCCAAAAATATTTTCGAGACACGCCACTGACTAAAGTGACCATCAGAACGATGGAAAAAATATTGCCGTCAACAGTTTATTTTGCGACACCACGAAACAAACGACAGCGTAAAATGAAACAATAGATGTTTTTATATTGTCATCCGATATGTATCGTTATATCGAACAGCCCTACCTTTCATTACTTTGAAAGGCTTTTTTAATTCAAACACTACACTTGATATAAACTAGACCTCATTAATATATAAACAAATAGGAATATGTGAGTTACCAAAGGTCAGTTTGGCAAAAAAAATCCCCCCCAAAACAATGCTGCAACATGAAAGGAGAACGCAAACTCCTTTAAACAGCAGGTGGACATATTAAGCTAGTCCTTCCAGATGAACAGCACACAGGTAAAATTTGTAAAATACTCTCAGCTCAGTTTATTGATGTGATACAAACAAGGAGTGTTTAAAAAAAAAAGGGTCAAGAGATTATAAATTGTACATTTATGCAACACCTGCTGCTTTTGTGAAGATCTGAGCAGAGTAACAATTGTGTTTTAAACAGAAAATAAAAGGGCAGCTCTTTTCTTATATGCTGATTCATTACACATGTGAGATAGTTGATTTAATTCAGATTAAAAAATCAGATTCATAGAGAGAAACCCATTTTTATCTTCTTACATTTCCTTCTGTCTCTCTGTCTCAGGTGGAGGTGCACAGTGTGACAGTGGACTGCACTGTGACCTCTTGTTTTGCCCACACTGTCATGACCTCCAAGGCGTTCAACAAAGCAAGCTCGTCACAGGAAATCTTTTTTGAAGTGG